CCCTTGCAGCCAACGTTCCGATGCCAAAAGAAGACTTTTGCCGTCGCACCACCATTGAGAGAAAGTGTTTGTTTCTGTCGCGACGTCTGGCGTTCCATTTCCGCGGCCTGCGGGTGCGCTGCGCTGCGCTGCGCTGCCCGGCGGGAGCCCAGAGCCCAGCGCCCGGTAGCATGGGAGACTCTCTGACCAAGGACCCATCGCGGCGGAGTCAGGCAGGCCGTCACTCCAAGGCCAACCGCTGCTGCGACCCGACAGGGTCAACGCCCGCAACACCTTCATGACGAACTTTTCTCACCACCTCCACCAACATCAAATTCGCTCCCGTCTCATGCTCATACGATGTGGCTGGTGGCCTCTGAGCGCGCCCCTTGGCTTCGTATGCCACGGCGCCATCGGTGAGACGTGTTTGATCGAGCACGACAATGGCATCCGACCGACCATCCGGCCCCAGCCCGAGTATGGATACAAGTCAGCAATCAATGCCATGTGGCACAGTCGCTACTACACACCGTGACGTTGTTTGGGTCGGCGCGGGGCTCTGCACCACTTGGGAAGGTACGCCTTTTGAGACGAACTGCGTCTGCGGCCCATCTTCAGCCCTGTCTTCCGTTGTCGTCCCCTCTCTCTATCGCTCCTGTTTCTTCCCACTGCTCCGGGCCGTTGTTTCTATTTTGCTGCCCATCATCATCGCAATCCACGCTTGGGGCTTGATTCTGTGACGTTGATGCGGCAGGATCAGGCCGTCGACGGGTGAGCCGAACGCCCAATCCCTAGAATCATCAACTCCGACGCGCTTATCCCGATTCGACCCAACCTCTAAAAATGACCTTCCCCATATGGTCGCTCCACGCGCTGTCGCTGTTTCATTCACGCAGTCAGCAGTTTGCTCTCCCTCCCCGACTCGACTCGACCGGACCAACGAGCCATTCTGCTGGCCGCTGCGATCGCCACGCATCGCCCTCGCCCTTGCCCGTAAGCGGCCCGTCCGTTTTCCCGCTCCCGCAAGATTAAAAGGCGTGGCGTTTTTTGCAATTCGCCCACGGCCCTGATAGGACAAAGGAAAAGAATATCCTGACCATGCCCTTGTCAATCTATCCTATTCAGCAAATGGACGTTGCCAAACTAGGGAACCATCAGCTATAAGTGGACTCCAGTGGCCTCCCCCATCTACCAGCTGTATCGAAAGGCGATCCAAAGGCTCATGCAAAACTCCACAAACAAGACAAATTTTCGCATCCAGGCGTTGCTTTCAGCCACTGGTCCTCTGCAATGCGCGGATGTGTCTCAGTGCTCTCCGTCTGCTGCAGGTTTGCAACGAGCTTTCCAAGTACGAGCATTTGGACCTATCTCCGCGCCAACAACATATTTCTCAACCAACAGATTTTGTCTGCATCTCAGGACTTTGGCTGCATCCATGATAGCTTGACCAAAATCAGCTTAGACTGTTTTGGTTTTATTTACCGGAGAGCAAAAAGACATGGTGGGTCGCAGCGGTGAAGCAGCTCCCTGCCGTCCAACAGTGCGGAGATGATTACGCCATCTCTTCATTGGCCAAGAGAAGCGACGCATATTTACAGCTGAGGTCGAATTTCCCTGAAGGAGACGCCATGTCTGCAAAATTCCAACTCTCCACTTTGCGCCCCTGCGCTAACGCAGTTAGACGCCAGTACCTTCGAAAGCGTGCGCGGTTGTCTCGCACTCAATGAAGGGAGCTGATCTTTACTGCACTTTTCCCTTACCCGACCGATGGGTCACGCCATCACAGATTCTATTGGGATGCTACCTTTCTAAAGATGGACTTTAGACGAACCCCATGGTGAAGAGAATACCGTCATCAGGCGGCCCGCCAGCCCAATTCAGCTCCCCCGTGCCCCTCCCCTCCCTCGCTACTATGGCACGTGGAGACCTGGTTCAAAGTCCAAAAGTCCAGACTCTGTTTGCATGTTTTGAACGTGGACCAGGCGGAGCCCCATCTCCACCTACCCACCTCTCGCGCGTGTCGTAAGTCCGAGCATGAGCTTTTTCATCCTCGCGCCGCCCCCTTCAGACGCTGCTTTAGGCACAGAACTTGCAGAAAAAGTCGGGTGGACCGAACTTGTTGTTGCCGTCGTCCGCCACTCTCCTGTCTCTGGTAAGCATCCCGCCTCTCGGGCCAGGCAGGTGGATAGTTCAGCCCGCCCGCACATACAGGACGCTCTCTCGTCCGCGGAGAAACCACAACATCTACTTTCGGCGCTGCTCCCTCCCTGTGCAGCAGTAGCAGCCAGTCCACATCACACCACCATCACCACCGCCACCAGCACGATCTTCGTCTTTGGTCTTCTCCTGATTGCCCATATCGGAGTCCGCTCGCTCGCGCGCCCCTGGAAGACATTCGGTTATCGAATAGTCCGCCATCCGGCCCGGCGATCGCACATCGTCATCCAATTGATCTCCAGGCTCGGTACGGCTCGCGCAAGCTGCCGGACCGGCGGCATGGAATTGCCACAGGGACTCAACACCGTGGTCCGTGGTGGTTGAAAGGTGGCTGTTGTCGAAGAGGACGGTGAGGCTCTCCGAAGAGGCTGTTGAGGATCAGCGCGTCCCAGTTTGGCAGCAGAATTAGGCACCGATAGGCAGGTATTGAGAAGTCTTGAGCCAGAGACGCAAACGAATGCGAAATCCGAGACCGAAAAGCGAGAACTGGACAGGCTCGTTTTCTCACTAAGCTGCCAAATCATTTCTACTCTTGCGGCGAGCTCGTCCGGTGTTGGCACTGCGGTGGTTGCGGCTTCGCTCGCTGCAAGCATTCCAAAGGCTGCCTCTTCACTGGTCGCCGTCTTTGCTTCAGATTCGTTGCCTTTTCTTGCCGCGTACGAGGAATTTTTTTTTTTTTTTTTTTTTTTTGAACACTGACAATAGCAATCTTGGCCCACGACAAGCCCGATCTGGCATGTCTGATCTTTTTCATCATTCATCTTTTGCAGATCACCGCGCAATCATTACCCTCGATACCCCAATACCATTGACACCAAATATGGCTACTGATCAACCAAGATCTCAAGAGTCAATCTGCCTGACCCAAAGCATCGACACGCGCTCATGTCTAAGAATCGAGCTTGTGCGTCTTATCGAGCGAGTGAAGAAATGGAGTGCTGCCTGTATTTCTCTAGCTTGGAAAGGACGCGATAGAACTACCGTCGACCGCATGACACCGGAATTTGGCAGGCGTAGTCTCAGTCAGTATGCAGACATCGCAAAGTTATGAACCAGCTTCCTTGGACGCTGTGGTTTTCTTGAAATTTTGCTTCATCAGTCGTTAGCATGGCAGACACGGCGAAACCTCAATTCATTCACAGTGAGGGGGACTGAGCTGCACTTGCTGACCAGGCATGATGAGCCGGGTCGTACAGTGTGCTTGGAGGCACTTCAACCGTGCCGATAGATGGTGCGAGAAGCAGAAAGCAAGACGAGAAACGCCTCCCATAAACCTTGACGCTCGACCTAGACTCACTTGCCCGATAATCCCACAAAGCAACCCCTTCCCACTTCCGTCTGTTTACCCTCCCTTCCCCCCTCTCCAACTATCCTCATTTAACCCCCTCACAGTAGCCCTCATCCACCAAACCTAGATCCACCATGGTGCAGTGGTAGCTCGTCAGACTGCTCGCTTCAGTGTCTTGCAGCATGTCTTATGAGCATGCCACAAAGCAACCTTCTTCCCCTGTCGTCTGTTGGCCCCCCCTCCCTCCTCTCCAACTATCCCCATATAACCCCCTCATAGCACCCCATCATCCACCAAACCCGGATCCACCGTGGTGCAGTGGTAGCCCGTCAGACTGCTCACTTCGTTGTCTCGCCGCATGACTTACGAGCATGCCGCCTGTCGTTGCTATACCATACCATACCATACACAGGGACGACGGGCGCGTTGCTTGACACGTTGGGGTACATCCCTGTCTGGAGACCCGAGTTCGACTCTCGGCGGTGGAGTTTGCCTTTTTTGTTTCGGCTTGGGCTTGGTTTGGATTAGTTGGGAACTTTTGAGTTGAGTTGAGATGGCATGAGATGAGGATAGGTGATGCTGAAGAAGGACTGTAGATTGGGCGAGCAAAGCCCTATCGACCCCCCTCCCCCTTACCACCCTTTCCCCTAACGTCTCCCACCTCACCCACTCAAAGCCCTCCCCCCTTCCCCAATTCCCATCCATCGTCGAGAATCGAACTCGAATCTCTCCAGCCAACCACTGTCCAGCAATCTGTGCCGCGCGAATCGCGCCTCCTCCATCTAGTCCTCGCTTCTTACCATCAAAGGACTGCTTTGTTGTTGCGGAGCAGAGACTTTAGAAAGAAAATGCTAGAGATGGCATGACAGTGTGGGTTGTGGCGGCCACGGTTTCCATGTGCGGGCTGGTGTGCTGCCTTTGCACTACGATAGATGAGTTTGGTGGGTGTGTTGGGTTTCGGGAGTGGTGGAGGGGAGCAGGAGTGGAGGGGGGATGGGGAGGTAGAAGAGAAGAGGAGAGAAATGGTGATTATTGGGCGGCGAGGGGGGAAAGTGCAAACTTTATACTACCCTTACGCGCGACGCGTGGACTGAAGAGTGGGATAGAGTGAAACAAGGACAACTACCGCGAATCTGGTGGCGACTGGCGACTGGCGACTGGCGAAGTTGGTTGTCTCCTGCAGGAGGATGTAGAGGGAGTGAAGGTGGCTGCTGGGGTAGTAGGTGCGCCGACCCCTGCGACGATTTCTTTTCACTGAGGTCGTCGGGCTTGACATATACATACTTGACCTTTTCAGCTCTTCGCCACAATCGAAGATGCTCCAGAGTTGTCTCTCGGTCTCTTTCAATCTCCGCACTGCCGCTCCCCCTATCCTTAAGGTCCAAAAGTCAACCACCCACCTACAGGAGCAAAACACCAACCGCACCCACTATTTTCCCCCCTCGATCCCACTCTATCCTCAACCACCTGACTCCCTCTCACCTCACCCACCCCAAAATAAAACAAAAACCACTCATTCCACCGCCAAGAATCGAACTCGGGTCTCCAGACAGGTAGATACCAACGTGTCAAGCAACGCGCCACATCGCCGTGCGTCAGTAACGGGCGGCATGCTCGTAAGTCATGCGGCAAGACGACGGAAGCGAGCAGCCTGGCGGGCTACCACTGCACCACGGTGGATTTTGGTTTTGGTGGTTGATGATAGAGGATTGTGTTGACAGGTTCATGTAGATGGTGTGGGGGGGGAAGGGTGATGGGCGTTGTTTGACGTTTCAAGGAGGTGGTGGGAGCAGCCCCAGTACGTCGTGGGAAGAGTGAGATGAGGGAACTAGAAGAAAAAGAGGGCCCAGCAGACGGGACAAGATGGTCGAGCGGCTGCAAACACGGGAGGATTATGTGCAGCGAGGAGTAAGGACTGCGGTTGCCTATTTCTATCTCTATGTAGCGGCAAGTACTCGAGCAGCTAGCATGACGTTCATCGCTCATTGCAATCGTTCAAACTACAACTTACAGTATCGAATCCACCATCATCACATTACGCCTCCTCCACCTCACTCCCTCTTGCTCGACAACACCGACCCCATCTCACCGCGTCCCTCCTTGCTCGCTCCATCAGCGCCATCCTCCTTCCGTTGTGCCAACACCCACTTCTCAACCGCATCAAACGCCTTGACAGCGTCACCATAGCGCTCAAAGACGCCCGGCCGATAACCGTCGGCAATGCGGGTGACAAAATTGCCCTCGTCCCACCGCGCGCCAATGAACGCTTCAAAAGTCTCAATGCCCTCACCCTCCTTCTGCGTAGCCGACGGGGGCGGCGGAAGCGCCTTGGCCTCGCCGTCGACGAAGCCGACGTTGGCGTTGGCGTTGGACTGCTGCCCCGCGGAAAAGACGCGCCTCTCGACGCCCCACACGGCCTTGTACGCCGCGCCCAGCGCGCACGCGTTGCCGCCAATGTCGAGCTTGAAGATGCCCTCGGCGCCGCCGAGCACCTGGCCGCAGAGGTCGGCAATGGCGCTGTTCTGGCTGCCGCCGCCGACGAGGTACACGCGGCGCGGCTGCGCGGGCAGCGTGGCGTTGGACTTGGGGTCGTGCTGTGCGGAGACGAGACTGGCGCTGCGGAGGCGCAGGGAGAGGAATTGCGATTCGACAATGGCGCGCGCGTCGGTGGTCGGCCCGCCCCATGCTGGGTCGTTGTCGGCGAGGGGGGTCAGGGCGGATTGGATGGCGGAGATGGAGGTGGGGGAGGTGACTTTGGAGGGCGAGTAGAGGAAGCGCCATGTCCCAGCTTTGACGTTGGGTACGATTTCTGGGAGCGGGAAGAAGAGTCCCAGCTTCATGGGTGCAGAGGCATCGTGTGGGTCTGCTTGGCCTAGAACGGAATCACCAAGCGCCGTCGTGTTAAAATTATCCCAGGTCTTCGAGTTGTCGTTGGAGAGGGCGTTGAGAGCATCGCGGACTCGTTCCCGCGCCAGTCCGCCGTTCTTGTAGCAGAGCATAAACATGTATAGGGAGGCAGTTGTGGGGTGGTTCATAAAATGGTAGGCCGGGTCCGGCTTGTACTGCGGCGTAGACATGAGAAACGTCGTGCTCGTGCCTAAACTTACAATGGCATCGCCCTCGCGGAGAGGAAGTGCAATGATGGTGGAAAGATTGTCTCCTGTCGAAGGAACCACGGCACAGTTTCGGTGAAAGCCATACTTTTGGACAAAGTAGGAGGAAATTGGTCCAAACGCCGCACCTCCATCTTCGGGAACCGGGCCAAGTTTATTTGACAGGGACTTGACGCCATCTGGACCTCCTGCGCAGAGTGCCAGAAGTTCATGATGCCACTTGCCAGTCTTGATTTCCCACAGGTTCATGCCACAAACATCGCCAATGTCAATGGGTGCAACGCGGCCCAGGAAGACGGAAGCTAGGAAAGATGAGACCAATGATATCCGCGAGGTTCGGGAGTACTTTTCTGGATATTTCTGGCGAAACCGCATAATCTGAGGACCGCTGAATCGCTGTTGAGCCCATTAGCAGCTGACCAAAATCCCATTGTTTTCAAACTTACGTGGTGCGCTTTGCTGCCAGTAACCTCTGCCAATTTCTCCGGACTACCCAAACATTTGTCGAATTCTTCGCATTGCTTTTGCGTGCTCGCATCCTGCCAATTGGGGCTGTTTCCATGGGCAAAAACGCCATGGTCTGCCCCGTCTTTCCAGTTCCCACTTTCATCTCTCCCAACCAATTGTTCCGCCAATCCTTTGCTCCCGTCCATGTGACCAAGCACCTCTTCCGCTTTGGGGCCCCAGAAGACAGTGCCATGCTGCATTCCGGCGCCCGAAACGCCCTTGACTCTTCCAAAATCCAGACCATCCTTTTGCAGGCGCGTCAGGACCAGATCCAGGGCCTCTAGCCACATGGCAACCGGGGCAAATATCTCATGTTCGGCGGGATTGGTCAAGACGCCTTTTGTTATGCCGTGGTGGGAAAGATCGGCGTCGAAATCGACCGTGGCGGAGTAGACCAGCTTCAGGTTGGATGCGACCACGAGACCTGTTGAATGGAGGGGTTGTCAGCCTTGGCTTTTGCGGGAGGGGCTTTGAGTTTTGTAGGATTCCAACAGCATGAGGGGACAGGAAGCACCGCGAGCTGGTGGGAATTGAAATGATCCAGGTCGTACATTTGCATTGTTGGGTGGACAGGTCGAAGCCCATATACAGGTCGCCGTTATCGTGTGCCATTTTTCGGGACAGGTCGCACAAATCGAATCGAAACTGGGTTGCAGGAATCTCGCAGCTACTGGCGCGATCCGTGATGTATTCGTTTGACAGGTGGTCGGGAGCAGGATGGCTAGGTGAGGGTCAAGAAGCAGTGGAGGAGCAAGAAACGAGTCTCAAGACATGAAATGGTGCGGTGAGGGAGCAATTGAATAAGAGAGAGCTCAGAATACGAGCGGGGCAGAGAGAGTCATGAAGCTCGCAGCCACAACGAGGGAATCCGGGGCGCCGAGGAGAGGATCCGAATGACGTTGGCTGGTGGACAGCTGGAGAAATTTGGCCGCGCAGGGAACAAAGCTCCAGCCCTATCGTCGCCAAACGTCAGTCGAAACATTCAGGTACCAACCACCAACAACACTATGTCTGCCATGGCTCTGGATTTCTTGGTACGAGAATTCAAGGCTCAAAATTTTCCGTCGTCTTTGCAGTCGACCTCGATCGCATACAAAAGGCTGAGTTCAGTCAACGTCACAGCTTCACCATGCTGTGTTCACCAGCAGTTGCATTATCTTACTGGACATGAATGCATGCTGGATGCAGATGGATAAGACATGGCCTAATCCTTCCGCAGCAATCCGAATGGACAACGGCTTTGTCTTTCGTTTGGATGTGAAGAGCAACATACACAACTGGTGCCTGACCCCGCGCTCTCCTTGTACCCCACCCCCTCCCAAGCTTCGCGGCCTCCCTCACCCCTGGCAAATGGCCAATTTTTTTCGAATTTTTATTTTCTATTTTTTGGTCTCACTTTGCTCGCACGAGGTTCGCGAGCAAAATGATGTACGTCATCAATCGATCCAGGCCGGGGCTGGCGTGCAATTTGGATTTTTGCTTTTTTGCATCTCAAGCTCTCAAGACGTTCAAAGTTGCAAAATGCACGCTAAGCCCAAACAGGACAGTTGCAGCAAGGCTAGACCAACCTCATCGCTAGCGCCACCTACCCCATCGCTCACCTCAGAGTCAGCAACAGACTCCCTCTCGTCCAACTCCACGACTCCAGACGTCCAAGACGATCATGACCCAAGCCAGTCTGTTAAACGCTGAGGTTGTGCGGCAGAGAACTCCCCGGCCCTTCGCCTGCTGCCGCTTGCCGCTGAGCCCTCCCATTGGAAAAGCTCCCTCACCTAAGCGCCCACTCCCCGCCGTCTTCAGCCAACGAGAGACGAGATGAGGTCCCCTCTCCCGCTCCCCGTCGCACCGCACGCCTTTGACTGGCCGGCCCGTCGACGTGACTTCTGCATCTCTCCGGCATTGTCAAAACGTGCCATCGGCTGACCCACAGCCTATCGCGCTGGGAATTAAGCCAAAACGCCCTGCTTCCCTCTGCCACTCCTCAACTCCTGCCTCTATACACCTTTGTGCGCCCATCTTCATGCTCCTCTCCAATTGACCCTGTTGCTTCAAGCAAGCCTCTTACTCTCCCTGCTGCTTGGCTGCGTCTGCAGTCATCTTCGTCCCCGTGGCAAGTCCTAGGCAGACGTCGTCATTAAGGCGACTGAGCGCGTAAAGACCTTCATCGCGGTCCCCTTTGGCCCCATCTTTCGTCATGGCTCGCGGTTTCTTTGCATCTGCCTCTGGGCGGACCAAGAAGCTTTTCGTGTCGCCTACTTGGCGTACCAAAAAGACCATGTTTGTCCTCATGGCAATTGAGTTTCCGCTCGTCGTCGCCATTCTGACGTTATTTGGAATTGCTCACCCCAACACCTACCGGACAAAACTCTGGCAAGAGGGCGCGGATCTTGGTTACAATAGCGCGCCAAATGTCATTCTGTACGCCATGGCGAACTACAAACCCGTCAAGACGCCGTTGGTGTGGAGTTCACAGTCAGTATCTTTCATTTTTAGAGGCCGACGCGACTGACAATTGCTAGCCTCACCAGCTTCAACCTGGTCATCTCTGTCCTCCAAACCTTTATCCTGATATGCAAAGCTACCATGCTCTTCGTCAACACATTTTATCCGATGCTGTCTTTAGTGGTGCACTGCTTCCTCCTGGCACTCTACTCGTACAGCGCCCACGGACAAACCGGCCACGACACGCTCGACCCGCGGCGCCAATCAACTGGACTGCCCTGGTACATCAAGGAGAGCTGCGACATTGCCAGCACGAGCTCGCTCAAGGGATACTGCTTGCAAGCCAAGAGCTGCTTCGTCGTGACCGTCCTCGTCCTGTACGTCCCCCACCAATGCGCCTCTCGCGTAGCTCCCAAAGCAAAGCCAGCTTACCAACATAACCCCTACAGCGTCCTTTTCTGCGTTTACATCCTCCTCTCCTGCTACTCGCTCATCCCCACCACGGCCCAACGCGAGCACTACGAGGCACAGCAAGCCGAAAAGCGCGAACGCAAATCCGCCATCGCAAAGCTACAGGCCGAGATCGACGCCGAAGCCAAAGCCTACGCCGAAGAAGCC